AGCCCACATGAGCTGTGATAACGCGAGGGAGCTGCGTGCAGGTGCCTGATAATCGAAGCATGGACCTTGCGGCCAAAAATTAGACCAGCAGCCCGAATCCCACAAGCGACAGCTGGGGACTGGCAGCCCCCTGGCTGCTGGATGTGCTCGAAGCCCTTTTATAACCCCAGGAGTTGCTGGCTGGCCGTTCCCCATGACCCACGGCTGCATTCTGTGCCTACAGGCATTCCAGTGAGCCGAGCCGTCCGAGCCGAGCGTCCCCACCCAGCTCAGGGGCACGAGCAGTGTCTGCAAAAGTGCCACAAGGGCCGGGGGAACGCGGCAGTTCAGGCTAAAAGGCCCGAAGGCCTCAAGGGTGCAGCTGAAGGACAGAGCCAGATTTCCCCCAGATGTGCCCACACATGAGTGTGGGAGGGAGACGGTCCTGTGACCCTGAAAGACAAGGCTGTGCCGGCGCCCGTTTACGTTTCCTGTACAACGTGATAAAAGGGAAGCTGGTTTTCCCTCCGGGCTCCGCTTTGCATGCTTTGTGCACAGAGACCCTCTTCTGCAGAACGAAGCGGTTTCCACCTCACGCCCCTGGAGTGCTTGGCAGGTCCCCCTTTTGTGGGCGGTAGCGGCAGGTAGGACAGTGGGGCTCGGACGAAGGCCTCGCCTCCCCCGCGTGCGGTAGGCTGGCCCAGGCCTGCGGAGCGGGGCCCCTTGCTGAAGCAGGCATCTCTGGGTCTTCGCCATGGAAATGGACTTCTCTTTTCCTGAGCGGGCCTGGAAGGACCTGGCAACAAATCCAGGCATCCGCCTGGGGTGATTAGGCAGGGAAACGCCTGCAGGACGTCACTACGGAGCCCTGGGGAGCCGCTGGGGGCCGCCGGCTGCTGTGTGGATCACGTCGACCTGGGCCCCCCCACGCCGTCATCCGCCCACACCCCCATGCCTAGAGACTGCCCCCATGGTCTGGAGCAGCAGGCCCTCGTCCCAGGGTCAGACCCTGCGTCACAGGCAGGCAGGCAGGCAGGCAGGCAGGCAGCCTGAGCTAATATTGACTGGGAAGCCGTTGCGGGAGATGCCCCCACAACACCCTCCCTGGCTCCCAGGACTGGCAAGGTGTACCAGCAAGGAGCTCTCTGTCTTGGACTGCTTTGCCAAGCTGCAACAATCATGCCCCCCCCCCCCCCGACACCGTGGCTTCCACAGAAGCTGCTGAGCACACGGAGGCCCAGCCGCTTCCTGCACTTGTGGCCTTCGGGTGCTCCGACGTGGCCTGGCCGCAGGCTGTGCCGGGTGGGGGTGTCAAACGCCCACCTGAAAATGGCCCTCGGCTCACCACTTCGGTGCACGGGCCACTCGTTTTCGCTGGCCTTCCTTGCAGGGCTTGACGTGCTGCACCAGGGGCTCCGCCGCCTTTTTCAATACCAAGACAACGTCCCCTGCGCCCCCAGGGCAAGTGGGTGGATTTGACCCCCTTCTTTAGCTGTTTGGGGCAGCTACCAAGCTCCTTGGCTGAAGGGCCAAGAAGAAGACCTTCCTGAACCAGAATTATTTGGGATCCCCAAGACCAAAACCAGAGTTTTGCACTAGGACAAATTTATTCGTGCTGTGCCAATCACATCCAAAGGTCGCCACTGCTGAGCGGCCAAAGGGCGGGTTCAGAGAACAAACAGTGGGAGCTGGCAGCATGACAGAACCGCCCTCTTGGCTGCCTCAAGCTGCGCCTGCCACTGGTCCCCAGTCCTCATCCTCCTGGCCCCTGAGCCCCCCTCCCATGATCTAGCCCCTGTGATGGCAAGATCTAGCCGAGGAAAAGCCTCTCTGCCCGAGGCAAAGGGAGAAACAGGGAAGGGGGCCTGGTGACTCCCCCCCCGGGGGGGGGGGGGCTCAGTGGCCAAGAGGACTGCTGGGTTGCTTAATGGCAATTTCTTCCTTCACAGGGCTCTGCAGCAGCACTTGGGCTCCCGGGAACCACAAGGAAGGGGAAGCGTCGCATGGCAGACCTGGCCAGAGCTGCTGCTGTTTGCCCCCACCGCCCTCCCGTGGGGTGCCAGGCCCCCCGGGATGGCCAGGGGCTTGGCCTGAGAGGCAGGAAAAGGCCAGGCTGCATTTTGGGTGCTGCAGGACAGGGGCAGGCGGAGGATATGGTCTCTGCGTGTTTTGATTCTGGTTCCCAGCATTCCTGAGCAGGGGCTGCCCTGGCAGTCCAAACTCTCTGGCCGTCTCTCTTTCGTCCAGCTGCGGCCTAGGGCTCCAAGGAACACTGGCCTTCTGGGGGCTCAGCAGTGGAGAATGGTGGGCACACAGCAGAGCCCCCGCAACATTAGTGCCCCCACAGCCCAAGTGGGCCTGCCTCATTGTGTCGGAGGAGCGCTGGGGGGGGCAGGTGCAGCCTGTCTCAGGGGCGGTGCTGGAGTGGCAGCAGTCGGAAGCGCACCCTTGCAGGGCAGCGGTGGGGTGCACTTGCCCGGGCATGGGGGGCAGCTCCTCCCCCCTTCTTGGTGGGGGGCATTTGGGGGCAGCTGCCCAGTTCACTCTGGGGATGGTCACTGTGGTCTTCCCACGCGCCCTTTCTGTATTCATTCGAACGAAGTGCATTTGTGGGAGAGCGTGTTGGCTGTCCGATGACATCGGCTTGGCAGTAACCGTGGCACATGGACCACAGGCAGTTGCACCGGCTTGGTCCCAGGCAGCCTTTTCTTCTCAACGGCTGCTTCGCCGGTCAGCTCCATCCACTGGGCGCTGCACAACCCGCACGGGAGGCGCCATGGCCTCCCTTAACGTGCGCCAGGGCGGCCCTCTTTCGCAGCAGGCGGGAGCAAAGGGCAGCCTACCAGGCATGAAGGCAACTCGCCTGCACGATCCCCCTTCGCCTCTGGACTGTGCCTCCGCTGTCCGGACAGTGGGGTCAGAGCACGGCTGCCTTTCCCCGGCGCTCGTGATGTTCTTCAGCCTAACTGCTTCTGCCCGAGACGTTGTCTCTGTGATGGCAGGCATGCCGCAGCCCTTTTGTGTGTCCCGCTTTGCATCAGATCAGCAGCAGTGTGTCCACACAGTGCAGAGCGAAGCCTTGAAGCAACCCGTCCCCCGCCTCCGAGCGCCTGCCCACAGCAAACATCACCAGGATGTTCTTATTTTCCGTTGTTTTGCTACCACTGTAGGAGGAGCAATTTCTTCCCTGGCAACCGGATGCAAACACAAAACACAACTTGGTGGCTTCGGCCCCTTGATATAATGGTTCCCCCCCCCCCCGCAGGCAGTGGGGTGGAATGCCGACAAGGGGGGGCGGGCCAGCCTCCTCGGCTGCAGTGTGGGCAGCCCACACACGCCGTGCTCCGAAGCGCAAAAGCAGGAAGCGTCCCCCTCGCTCTGACGCAGGCTGGCATCTGACAGCTCGCCTGGCGAGAGTTGCCTGGTGCAACACACAAGCAGCTACTTTCTCGCTCGCTGCCTCGTGGAGACGCATGTGCCGGCAGCGGGTGAGGTCACGTGAGCCCTGCGGAAGCTGCCACTGGCTGGCAGCGTTTCCTGCCACACCCGGAGCGGCCACAGTTGCTGCAGCTCCACGCGCTGTTTTGCAAAGCAGCCCCTGGGCAAGGCTGCCCCGGGTGCGGCTGCAGGCGCTTTTGGCGCCAGAGGGGCAGGCCGCTGCGCTGGGCCAGCGGGGCTCACAGGTGCAGGTGCCCCACCGAGCACCAAGTGGGACCGCAGGCAAAGGAGGACGGCTTCCTGGCTACCCTTCCCCGGAGCTGGAAGGCTTTGTGGGGTACAGGGACAGCTTAAACCAGACCAAAGGCGGGCACAGGTGCCCCCCACGGGAGCCGCCTGACCTGGTGCTTTGCCTAAGGGGCTGCCTGGCTGGGTCCCAGGCAGGAAGAGTCCATGCCCCAGTGCCCAGGGCCGCTTTTAGTGGGACAGATGGCATCCTCCTGCACTCTGCATATGCCCCCCGCCACATGGGCGGGCAAAGGCGGCAAGCCTACAACTCACGAAGGGGGCTCGCAAGCTGACCTTGCACCCCCAGGGGCAGTGAACCCCTGCCTCGCCATGGGCCACACATCTCACCGAGGGCCAGAGGGGCTCTGCATTTGGAACTCTGCTCTGGCTTCTGGCTTCAGCCGACCCGACTGCTGCCCGAAGGTCTGGAGCGTGGCTGCCGGCTGTGCCTGCTGCTGGGCTGGAAAGACGTGGGCAGTTGCGACACCCCTCAGGCCAGGCCGTGGGGCACCTCTCCCTCCGCACTAGTCAGCCAGGACGCCTCCCTACGCCCGAGGTGGGGAGTCCTGGGAGCCTGCATTCCTGCAGGGTGGGAGGCCGAGGAAACCCGCCCGCTGCCCTTCTGGAGCACCAACCACCTGTGGTGGCGTCTCCGGGATGCTTTTCAATCTGAGGACGAGCAGCAGCTGCCCAGCAGAAGAGCTGGGGGCCACCCAACGCTCAACCGTCTGGGGAAAGGGGGTGGTCCCCTGCCCATTACACCGCTGCTGCTCTGGTACCTGCTGGGAATACTGCATCCACTCAAGTACTTGCAGAGACCCGCCTGAGCGAGCAGACACAGGTCCGTGTGCCTTCATCCGCACTTGCACCCAGGGCCTTTCCACAGGCAGTGGGGACGGAGTGGTGCCAGGGCCAGCACGGAGCGCAGGAGGGGAGTCTCCGCTCCCCAGAGTGGAGGGAACCAACCAAAATGCACCTGCATGGCAAAGGAGCATTCTGGGAGCTTCCCCCCGCAAGAGCGGGAAGATGCGTACCGGCTGACCCCTGCCAAGCCTCGCGAGGGCAGGGGGAGCCCTCGGGGCCCCGAATTCCCATTGGCTCCAGCCAGGAACGGTGCAAGCTGCAGCCAATGCCACCCGGAGTTCCACTTTCTGCCCGCCGTTCCAGCATGGGAAGATGGCGCCAGGCCGCAGGTGGGCACTGACTGCCTCAAGCCCCCCTCCCAAAGCACCGCTGCTTGTGCGCGCCTGCGGCACCCTCCTGCCAGCCTCAGAAACACACAAACGAGCCCGTGCTTGTGTACGTGTGCCAAACGTCAGCTTTATTGCAGCATCTCTAACTTTACACCACTGATCAGTCTGTGTCACAGAAGGGGGGTTCCTGTCACAGGGGGAGGGTCCCCGGGCCCCTCCTTGTGCAGCTCCTTCAGCAAGAGCCCCCCCCCCCCAGCATGCTGCCCTCTGTCTCAATCACCCATCCTGGACTGGGTTCCATGCCAGGCGGCAGCCGGTGCTGGGCTCCTCTCACAGGGATTCGTCCGTGCACAAAGTTCAATAAACAAACTGAACAAAGAGGCTGCAGCCCGTCCCTCGATGGGCCACTCGCAGTGGCACAAAATCTTCACCCCGCGACTTATTCCTGCAAGGACCCCCCGGCTGGGGGCGTGAGTGTCCCACACACTCTCTCCAGCCCGTGATGGCCATCGGGGGCACAGGAGCAAGCAGGAGAGCAGAACCCAGAGCAGCCCGGGGGCACCCAGGTGGCCGCACGTCCAAGCCAAGCACACCTGCCTCCCCCCTCCAGGCTGGCAGGGTGAGAGCTGCCGTCTCGCTTTGTACACGGTCCCCAGCTCCTTCCAAGTTAACAGACTTTTGCCTCTGAAGCCGAAGCATCCCCGGGAGGCGCTGTCCCCACCGCACACCAAGGCAGGTGAATGGGAAGGGAAAGCCGGCACCCCCGTAACTCCTTCAAGGCAAGACTGCCTGTCCATCGGCATGGCAACCCCGGCACGACCTTGCATGCGTTCCTTCTCACAGGAGACAGTCTCTGGCTGGCAGCCCAGCCGGCCGGCCGGGAATCGGTGGGCCTGCCAGTGTCCCATTGCGGCCGCAGCCCAGTGGAGTCCTCCGGACACAGCGCGAAGAAACCACTTTCAAGGAGGTTGCATAGAAACAGTTCCGTGGCTCTGCCCACCCCATGGACAGAGCCACCTCACACCGCAGAGCCCGCCCTGTGCTGGGCCGGGGCAGCCTCTCCCTGGCTCTGCTTCTCGGGCGACGGCAGCTCCAGGGGCAGACGGGACTGGAACTTCTGCAGCTGCTCTGGGCTGGCCAGGTTCTTCAGCAGGCTGTTCTCACGCTCCAGCTGCGAGTTCTTCTCCGCCAGCTCCTTGATCTGCTCCTTCAGGATCTCCACCTCTTCCCTCACGGCGTACATGAGGTGGTTCTTCACTAAATCCTATGAGAAGGAGCAAGAGCAGCCTGCTGGTGAATAGGCAGGACTCCGGGCCCTTATGCAGCAGTTCCCCCGGGGCAGTCTCCCTCCCTCCCTGCCCCTGCCCGGAAGGAGTCCTCTGGGCACAGCCTCCACGAATGCAGGAAAGGGCCAGGGCCGCTAGTCCAGAGAGACCAGGCATGAAGAAGAGAGTGGGGGGGGGGGACACCTGGTTTGTTCCCTGGGAAGGGATGCTTGACACCCCCTTGCAGATTTCCAGAAAGGGACTGCAGTCAAGCAAGAGCAGCTGCTGAGAAGCACCCAGACTCAGCTCCGAGTCCCTGCATGAAGCAGGCGCTGATGCAGCCATTTCTCTCCCAACAGGGCAAGGCTCTTGTCGCCCGAGCAAGAGCTACCAGGGCGTTCCGCCTCAGCTGGTGCCTTCCAGACCTTGTGGCCTTCACTTCCTGCCGCCCTCACCGGCACAGCCCAGGGAGGGAAGCACCCAGGGACGGCGTCAAAAGCACTTGGAGGGGGCCAGGGGCGCACGGGGGCTGCTGCCTGCGCGCTCTGGATGGAGCTGTGGGGTCCCCTCCCGCGCCCCAAGGCCGAGCCACCCCAGGCCCGCGACGCTCGCTCCCGCAGAGCGGGGACAGGCCGAATGGCGTCCCCCCCCCCCCCCCCCCGCACTGGAGCCGCAGCCTGCTCCATCAAGGGCGGCCAACGCACGGGAACAAAGAGCGCGCCGCCGCCGCCACTCACCATTGCCTGCTCGATCTTGTTGTCGATGGCGATCACGCTGGCCCCGGACGCGCTGCGAGAGACGGGAGAGGCGCCGTGAGAAAGGAGCCGCCCAGCCCGGCCGCCCCCCGCCCTCCCGCCGCCAGGTGGCCGGGCCGCCCGGTCGTCTACCTGTTGTCCAGCTTGACCGAGACCACGTCTCCCCCCAGCAGGGAGGAGAAGAAGGAGATGGAGAAGTTGTGCAGCTCGTACACCGCCACCTCCATCGGGGACGGATACACGTCGGTGCTCATGGCGGGGCGGCGGGAGCGGGAGCAGGCGCAGCTCGGGCTCGGAGACGCGCTCGAGGGACCGGGCGGGACGCGACTGCGCCGCCGGCGGCCGCGCGGCCTTAAGAGGCACGGCGCTCGCGACGTCACATCGGCCCAGCCTGCGCGCGGCCGAGGCCCCGCCCCGCCCCGCCCGAGCGGCTCAGGCGCCCT